CAGATTATCGTTAGGGAGGGTCTTGATGCTATATTCATCAGTGGTCGGGGGGTTGAAACGAGGGACTGCAGACAAGTGTTTTAAGTCGGCGGTAAAGAACGAAGGGCGATCAAAACAAAAGGCAAAAGGCAATTAGGGGCATGACTGGCACATGGGCCATATAAAAGAGTGACAAGAACAAAACAGAACGCAAAAAACACGCAGAACAACGAGCGGGCGAGAGAAGACGAGAGGCCGTGGAGGGAGAAGTCGAGGAAGTCGAGAGGAAACGACGTTGCGAGGCGAGCAGCGCCGTTGCGCTAGCCGCCCTGGGCCTAGCGCGGCACCTGAAACGAGGCGGCAGATCACGTGGGAGATGTGGGCGGCCGGCGCGGAGGATCGTAGTTCCGGCGTTGTTTTGACGCAGCAGAAGAGCATAGGAAAGCAAAGAAATCAGCCCTGCGAGAAGGCAGGCGACGGCTGCAGGCGCAGAGCGCGCGGCGATCTCTTTATTTATGCATTGCTGGCGCGCTTTCTCTGGTAAACGGTCGGCTTCATCAAACGAGCACCCGCCCGACCCGTGGTGCTGGCCGGCCGGTAGCCCGCCCGCCACCAGCACATCCCGGCCATCGCAATCCTACGCGCCCACCCCATTCCAAAACAGGCGCTGGCGCCTCTCGGCCTCCCCAGGGACTGCCTGTTTATACGAGTGGAATCTCCCATGTGCGCGTCATTAATCTACGGCTAGAACCCCAGAGTCTGGTACCCGTCATCCCTGAGATTAATTCTAGATGGATCTTGTCTCACGGACCTATGTAAAAAGCGTCGAGGCGCACCATTGTATATAAGCCAAACGACGGTGCTCTTCTGCGGCCCTTCCTCCAACTCCTAGGAAAACTCAAAAAAAGACTGCCCTACATGCTGAGCTTGAAGCCGCCAGGCTGCAATTCTTCAAAAACCTTCCGTGGGTCATACATTGTCTGCGCTCGTCGCAATTTTCTTACATTCTCTGCACCATAGCTGGTTATGGGCTTCTGATACGGCGCCGCATAATTCATATACTCAAAGTGATGCAAGAGTCCCCTTGTTGATGCCCATTCTCCGGTGCGATCCAAGAGCCGTCTAATTGCCGACAGAACCGGTTTGTCATCCGCAGCTGAGGCCCACTGGAAGCAAATGTTGACCACTATTCATCGAGTCAGCAGCTGATAAACTCCAAGCGATAGAGATTATGGAGTTGAAACACATACCAATGAGAGGCCCATCACTTGAGCTGAGACCAAGTGCATTGCCACCACGTTTCTGAAACTGGGAGCTTACTGTTTTTGGGACAGGCTGGAAAGCAACTGCTGGAAGGAAGCCTTCAGGCTGAGAAATGCTCCCTTGAATGGTTTTGACCTCCTCCATGAAGATGTCCACCATATAGTTTTGCAACTCTGCACTGTTCCTGTATGTTGCTGTTGTAAATTGCTGGCGGAAGCCCGACGGCGTACTTTGGCCTACCTCAAGTGTCAGGTTTCGGATGGTCGTGATACGAGTTGTATCCCGCAATGGTTTGAATTTGAGAAGGTCCTTGAAATTCAATTCAAGGGCAGAGGGGGTTTGGGGCTTCGCGTTACTCATGATCAGCGTGGCGAGGAAGCTACCATTATGGGCCAGGACGCCGTTGATAATAGAGAAATCTCTATCCGGTGGGTTTTCGTTGTATGAGGTAAGTCCACGATTGATAGCATCTTTGGTGGTTTCGACGGGATACACACGAAACCCACCCCACACCTGACCAACCGGGTAGGTTTCGAATTCGAATTGGAGGACGACCCCAAAGTTATTCCCACCACCTCGCAGTGCAAAATAAAGATACGGATGGGAGTGCTGATCTACTTCCAAAATTTGACCATCTGCCATCATTACCTAACTGCTTGTCAGTGCACACAATCTTCGCAGCCAGCAGGCGTTGGCCGTCATGGCTGACCTTAAATTTCAACACTGAGTCGCACGCAAGTCCTGAATAACCGGAGATATAAGAGACACCGCCTATTTAAGCTAGTCAGATACAAACACTCTCTCAGCAAGCCTAGATTAAAACATACCGCCAAGTGTCAGACCTCCAACGCCGACACCAGAAGAACGGCCTCCAGCTACTGTCACCTGGTGAGGGTCAAGCTGTTGGAAGACTTCAGCCCACTTAGCACCAGTCCCAATGGTGGCAACCTTCTTGTCAGCTGATAGGGAGATCTTATTGAAGGCCCGGAGATCAATTGAAACCCCCTGAATACTGTTGGAGGCACCAGGAACATCTGAATGGCCTCCAGAACGAAGGGCAAAGGGACAGCGTGCTACTTGTGATAGAATAAGCGCGACGGCTACTGAATGGGTGTTCTTTGCTGCTAGAAAGCAAGCAGGAGACACAGATGACTGCTGTTGCGCCCAATAGCTGTTCTTGCTATCACTATACGGGGAAGAGCCAGGGAAGTATACATCAGATGGCATGGAAAACCGGAGAGCATTGCACTGTGGTTTCAGATTAGAAAACCCCGACGCTAAAATTGCCCAGTAGATGTGTATATACATACCACGGCAGTACAGGCCCTGGTTGGGTTCTGCCTCTTCTGCTTGGGAGACAGAAACTGCTTCACCACATTTTCCAGGCCCAGCGCCTTGATCGAGTCGTCGAGCGTGCGAGGGACGTAGCCCTGAGACCCGGTACTAGGCGCAGCCGTCACAACAGCTGTAGGCAGCAGCCATACTAACAAAGTCCTGGACAGCAACATCTGTGATCTCACTGGAATACCACCACCCTTCTTAAGAGTTCCGCAAGCGCAGTGCAGGCATCGGCAGCCGACATGGGGGGGACGGACTGTTATATAGGGACCCTCCGTTTACCGAAGCTTCGGGGCACAAGTCAGAGAGCGAGGCATTATTATGATTGCTTCGGCGGCCGGCTATGGCAAGACTCGGGGAAGGGATTCTAGCAACGGCTCCGATGCCATGCGGCTAGTATTCTGAGTTAGCGTATGGAGTAACTAATCCGTGATCGCAAACCGGGGGTGCGATACAACGGTCGGCCAGTCAGGCAAAGCGATGGACGCTCGCCAGGCTGTGGTGCCTTCAGAAAATTCCTGGCGTCCCACAGGGGGACCCGCCCTTCATCCAGCAAACCATCATCCGGGCGGAATTCGTCGCGTGGCGCCTGGAGGCACTGCAGGTCAAACCCTATGGCTTTGTTGAGCGGAATTCGGGTCGAAAAAGCCTCATTATGATTCCCCGCTAAGAGGGCACCTCGCCATAACTACTCGCCGATCGCTTCTCGCGGCAAAGGAAGCCGGGCATGCGAGAACGCAGCAGCAGCATCAGCAGCAACAGGTTTGACAGTCCTGGGCGATGAGATGTGGATCGACGGGCCGTACGGAGTACTGAGGTCGTTAGTTCACAAACTGACTAACTACCTAACTATGCAAGGGCATGCCGCGCAAGCCAGCATGAGAACCAGTGAATTGGCTGGGCATGCATGGTCAGTTGGTTGCTCCGTATCCGTCTGTAGCCAGTTCCGTTGACAGTTGTTGTTGTTCTCGTTCTCCATCATTATTTGATGGCCGGCGACTAGCTAGTTAGTTAAACCAAGGTAACTATCCCGACGTTGATGAACAAATCAGTTGTGTTTTCTAGTATTTATTAAGTTCTTCCGCATCCATGTTCCTGTTGCTCACGCTTGGGCACACATGCCCAGCAATCAGGGGAGAAAATTTGATCCTTCGGCTTCCTCTGCAAGTCCTGCTGTCGGTCGCATTTGTACGCGGCAATCCCACTTCCCTGTAGGACAACCAAAGTGCTTATCTTGCACAAAAATACTCACAAACATGCGATTCGCAGGGCTGGGAAGCTGAAAATAAGCTACATATACATACACACTCCGTCCGGAGTACACATTCAAGTTTCCCGGCCGATGAACTAGAAAAAAGAAAAAGGAAATGGGAGCGAAAAGCTTAGGGAATTCCGAGCTGATGTTGTTTTTGCGGTGAGATCGCCGGTTCGATGTGGATCTTAGGCGACAAGGATGTTAGCTATATCTGTATCTTTACCTCACAGCAAATCGCACACTAGAAGCATACCTGGTGTTGAGTAGTGATTATAACTCCATCCTCGGGTGTCAGATTATCCTGAGATGACGGGGATGGCTGAGCACCGCCGTAGACTGTCGCTACATGTCGGCCATCATTACTACAGTCGTAGGGCTGCATCTGGATTGAATGGAAATTTCGGCTGTTTGCCCACGCGCTCTTGCTGCTCACGTAGTCCGCATGGGTGGAATGTGATGTCTTGCGCACAAAACGAAACGAAGGAAAGGCGCCAACGCAGATTGCTACCCAAGAGTGAATATTTAAACCCTAGTGGGAGGATTATGAGTTTGGCTGGGGGGATGCTGCCGGGAAACTCACCCGTCGTCGCTTCTATCGAACCCCAGAGAATCAACCATAAAGAGTTGGGAGTTGTGGCTTTTTTCTTCTCAGTGATCTCGATCACTCGTACTACGGAAGCGATTATGCAGAGAATTCCAATGGAGATCATGGCGGCAACTGCAAGCTTTCGCTTCAGGGACATCTGCAGTCCCCATATAAGGCGTAAAGGAAGGATCATAACTACATTGTTAATACAGGGGATTAACGATATATAAATTGTCACTCACTTAGTACATTCGTAACAACGTCACACGCAAAGGAACCGTACATGCTTAGGTCCCGAGTAAGAGCGTCAGACGGTCTTGAGCAGAAAACTAGACCCATATGTATAAGTGAACAGCACTGGCAAAATCTATTGGGTAGGAAACGGACGAACATTTTAGGTTCTTTTTGATATTGGCCACGCCTCCACAAGATGTGAGCGTAGCAATGAAGGAGAAGACGAATGTGATAATTGTAAAAATCAAAATGGCCATCCAGAACTTCAGTTGAAGTGGCAATCCGATCATCATGCGGCGATAGAGCACAAGTAGTGCAAACTTGACAGACCAAAGTAAGAACCAGAACACCGTAGAAGCCGAATACATGTAGATTATGAACCTTTCGATGTCTTCGGGCATGGTTGGATATGGCTTGTGGACGCCGGCGCGGATAGCGTTAAGATGGTATATCAGGGGGACTATTGCCAGGTAAATGGACTCGTAGATGAGGTAAAACAGGAAGGCTGCCAGCATAAACCCGCACTCCAGCTCTTTTATTCGGCCATACTTCCATCGTATAAATGCGGCGGACAGGAAAACAACACTGGCAATGGTCACGAGCACTATGACAATGACGAAGAGCTTGGACTGCTTAATGATAGCCTCGTATGTGTTGCTGATCTGAAGTTTTCTGTCCATGCTTTAAACTAATACAGCGGAAGGTTTGCAGTACTCAACGCATGCTGTCCTAAAAGAAGGAACATCGACACTGGAGAGAAGCAGCCCCAACAAGAAGTTTTCAAGGGCAGAGTCAGACAAGCGGAAGTCACCGATGGCGACGTAAGAGTCCAGCTACTTTGGACAACATGCTAAAGTATAATCGGAGGCGTGGGCCCGGTCCCTTTCCTGGGTGTTCGCTGGCTTCGATCGGTCCAGCATACAAGGGCTCGGGCGTGTTTGCAAGTTGCCGGGCTTCGAGGGCGGAAACGTCGTCGTTATTGCGTGCCCGCGCCGGAACTGCCGTGCCGCGTCCTGTGTCTGTAACTAGTAGTAGATAAGTGGCCAGTAGTGTGGAGGTGCTGATCTTTCATCAAGTTGCCGCTCCACAAATTCGCCGCCTGGACTCCGTAGCGGACGCCGGCTGAGTGTGCCGTGCACAGGGGAGGCAGCGAGGTAAGAGGGCCAGCCATGGAAACTCGCTGTTCGCGAGGCCCCATTATTAGCTAGTTGCATATGAAGTCCGGTCGTGAAGACTTCTTCCGTGGGCAGACAATAATAATACCCTGTTACCACCTGCAATAACGGCCCCCCAAACGAAGGAAGCGGGAAGGACAGACTCGATATTGCAGACTCCACCGCGCAGGACGGTGGGTATGCCGGTGCAGAGAGCGAAAGCCGACAGCAAGGTAGGCAGAGCGGCGTATCAGGATGGATGGATGGATGGATGTATATATGCAGGCCTGTCCGACAACTGTCGCAGCCGTGGGCATTGCGCTGGCTCTGTCTCTGTCTCGGGCATCACCAGCCTGCTAGTGTCGCGGGAGGACAGGGCGGCCCGGTGGCAGCTGGGTGGAGGCTGGGTGAACGGCCCAGAGCATAGTTATTCCAATAAATTAATTCACGGACAACCGCAGGCGGGGCAGCGGGAGCTGGGATGCAGCATAGCCGTGGGCGAGCAGCACAGCGAGGCCGCACACAGCAACAGGCCTGCAGGCGCGCTGTCAAGAGTCTGTACTCCGTACCTGCATGGGTAACTAGTAAGTTAGTTAACTAGTTAGCTGACCAGCGATTTAGCTATGGCGGATCCGGGACGCGCTGGGAGCCAGCACGAAGGACGGCCGGCTTTGTCCCTGTCCCAGGGGATGCGGTGGAAGCAGAAACAATAATAATAATCGGATCCATTTAAATCCACGTAGGATTCCGTCGGCAGCTCTCTAACTAACTACCCTCCGCGCCGTGCATAGCGCAAACTCTGGTCCGCCGTCAACCACCTAACTAGTCAACTAACTAGCGCATGCATGCTCGACCACGGCGGCACAGCAGCTATGCGCCCCGGAAGCCTCGTCGAGCGCCTGACTGGCCGTGCTTCGAGCAATGCTGGTGCGTCGTCTGCCCGTGGCCGGTGGCCGTTTATTGACTAGTTAGCTAACTACATACCTGACTGACTGACTGACTGGCCAGAACAACCGCCCGTGATCTCCAGCCATGCGGCCGTTGCGCTCTCCGTGAGTAACTCGTCTTTGGCCTCCTTCGCCTTCTCTCCCTGTCGAGCGCCCCAAGGCCACTGTTGACGCCTGCTAGGTTCTCTGCACTCTGCTCTACGTCGTGCCGCTGTACCTCTCGCCGACCAGCCGGCCGTCTCCCACCTTGAGTCGCGATGCTCCCTCTGTGATCAAATATCGCGTACGGGCTGTCATGGCCTCGTGCTTCATCTGCAGTGCTACCGCACTTCTTTGGATTGCGTCCACCGCCCGTGCCACCTATCTTGACGCCCTTCAGCTGCTTGGCTGGTGGCCAATCAGCTACGCTGACATCCTTCGATCGCTTCTCCTCACCTCCCTCCTTTTTATGGGCCTGTTGTTCGAGCGAGGGATTGCGGAGGGAGAATGGAGGAACTGGGTTCGGCTTTCGTACTGGATCGAGTCTCTTGGGGACTGGGTTGGATGGCGGAATTACGTGGCTGTATGTGTGCAACTGCGGTCTCCTCTTGCGCTTGAAACCACTCACCCCCATACGCTGAGCAGGGCCCCATTACCGAGGAAGTGATTTTCCGCTCGATTATTGTCACTCTGCACTTGCTGGCCAATGTTTCCCCCGCGCGCATAGTCTTTGTCTCCCCTCTCTATTTCGGCATTGCTCACGTCCATCACTTCTATGAGTTCAAATTAACGCACGCATACACCCCTCTGGGCCCGATAATTTTTCGCACAGTCTTCCAGTTCATCTACACCACGATTTTTGGCTGGTATGCGACTTTCTTGTACCTTCGCACGGGCTCCCTTTACGCTGCCATCCTTGTCCACGCTTTCTGCAACTGCTGTGGCCTTCCGCGGCTCTGGGGGCGAGTGCAGGTCGAGATGCCGATTCAGGTTGTCATAAGAGGCAAGGAAGACGGGCAAACGCCTTCGGAACGAATAGAATACAAGCAGCTCGGGGTCTCTTGGACCGTTGCGTACTATGGGATCTTACTCGTTGGCACCGTTGCGTTTTGGCGCCAACTCTGGCCGTGGACGGATTCTCCTTTAGCCCTGGTATTCTTTCCCCAGTCTCGGTGATTTGGTATGAATCAAGTAGCGGTACGGGGCATATGTACAGATATACGTCCATAGGGCGTTACCCCCGCTGACGTGTATTTTATCACTCCCCCTGTAGCCGTAGGGCCGATGGTTATCCCTGGCTTCCCAAACTCTAAAATTGGGTATTCTAGTAGACCCTAAATTGAACGAGCACGTACGGAGTTCGGTGCGATTGAAATCAGTGCCATACTGCACTTTCTTGTGATATATTCGCGTGTTGTCGCAACAGCTTCCGCCCCAATTCTCCTTGCCGTCACGCGGCGGGCCAAGCGCCCGCCCCCAAGCAACTCGATCCCACACGGCCACGATGATCAGAAGAGCGCGTTTTTCTACGCCTACATTTACCCCCGGCTTTGCTGTTTACTCTACATCGCGGCGCATAAAGATTCCACCCCAATTTCCCGTCACGTCGTCATGCCCCGAACCAACGTGTCCGTGTGCCGAAACACCGGCCGGCCTGGATATCGATCACGAACAGAATCTCCACGGAACAATGGCGTCTTATTCCCAGCATCTATTAATTGCAACAGGGCAGCCCGACTGGAAAAGCCGGATTGAAGAAGATGGTCCGGACCAGAGCTGGGGAATACTGGCGAGGAGGTTGAAAAAGCTCCTTGGAAGAGGCGGGAAATACTCCGATGTAAGTCGGCGTAGCCAAACCCAGAGTACAACTGGGCGCGATGATTACCTCTAACGCGAAGTCACTGGTGTTAACTAACAAGAAGTACAGCCATATAATAATATCTTGATTACAAATTCCTCATTCAAGCCTCAGACCTCTGATATGATGACTGCTTCCGCGTTTCTGTTCCCCGGCTTTCAGTATCTGCCCGAAATACCTCTTGACGAGACCGACCTAGATACCTTTGTAAGAGCATACCTATTGCCGCTCGATATCCATCGAGCACACGATATATTATCTCCCGAAAAACAAGAGAGCATGAGACGTGCTCCCGAACTACAGTCGACCTTCACCAACGTTGTTAAACTGACCAGCTCTCCTACCATACTCATCTGCGGCCACGGACATAGAGATCGGCGATGTGGAATAATGGGTTCGCTTCTGCAAGCCGAATTTCGTCGAGTATTAAGGCACTGTGGTTTCTCGGTTGACCCGGATAGGGTTGACGGTGCAGGCCATGCGAATGTGGAGTTAATAAGCCATATAGGAGGGCACAAGTACGCCGGAAATGTAATCATCTACGTTCCGCCTTCTATGGGCTCATCATTAGGAGCACCAAGCGCCCTGGCAGGGAAAGGGATCTGGTATGGTCGGGTAGAGCCGAAACACGTGGAAGGAATCGTGAAGGAAACTATATTGAATGGCCGTGTAATTATAGACCACTTCCGCGGAGGCATCGATGAGAACGGCATCCTGCGCCTATGACATCGAGTTTCGAGTTGACAAGGCCAGATTGGTTCATTTGTTGTATGGAGTACGGAGTAACTGGGGGACGTCACTCCTTTTGTCGCGTTTTAGTTTTTTTGTTAGTCTGGTGTCCATCACACCAAACACAAAATCTCTCGATTCCCTGAGCTCATCCCAATGCTCACCTCTACCAAAAATAGCCTGCGGCCAAATCTCTACGATGGTCAGAGCATATAAGTTTGTGCCGTACGCCCGTTGGGCGTACACCATGATTTTTTTTCTTTCTCTAATGCCCTCTCCTTTGACCCCTCCTTATTAATCAGCCCTCCTTCATCTTATCTTTTTACCACCATGGGTCCTGTCAAACGCAAGGCTCCAGCTCAGAGGAGTCGTACACACTGGATGGATATGGTCAATAGAGAAAGAGTCCCACCAAAGCCAGATCTCAAGGAGTCAAGCAAGCAGACAATGAGAGTCATGGAAAAGAACTTCATTAAGTACATCCCCCCTGACCTACTTTCTGCTTGAAGCCTACTTACCTTGACAGGTTCGCTCAAGAATTAGATCCACCTGACCCACGTCACTGGCTCGTAAACCTGAACTTGAACGTTGTCGAAACGTTTCTACGATGGTACCTTGAAATTCACAATGTTGTATCTTTAAACGGCTTCCTTGTCAGAGTTCAATACTGGAGAATCTACTATTGCTATGAGACGAACCATGACTTTCCCTACACGCTGAAGCGAGAAACAAAGAATGCATGTGCTCAAACCCCATTTTGCAGATCATCACTAACACTCCTTCCAGTTAATCTGTGGCACACTCAAGGAAACGACCTTCAAGAGACAATGAGATTTCAGCTGCCAATCAATGCAGACAGCCTTCTGAGCAACCTGTACTTTGACCTTACTATCTCAGATGTGTGGTTTCCAACAGAACAGCAAAGAAGACAGCATGAGACTGTGCATAAGATGATGACTGCCACAAGTGCGCAGCCAGGGACTCTGCTTGTGAGCTCTGGGTACTGCAGGAAGGGAAAGGATGGGCTTGAACGGAGGTCCGGGTGGTACTTATATACGGAAGCGAATAACACACTACCCCGAATAATGAGGGATAGGAAAGAGACCACTTCGCAGTGGAACCAATGAGTTTTAGCAAGAATTTCAAGTTCTGGCAGGGTATCCTCGGAAACGAGAAGTTTTCGCGAAGATGGTCAATATGGAAAGTAGTAACCCCTCGTTGGTGATGGATGGTTGTGACGTGTCATTCCGAAAGGTATCCTGGCACCGAATTAGCAGCAGCATTTCGGGGAGTCGTGTTGCATATACGACACTGCTACACGCCCCAGTCGCTACAATCGCGGGGTCAGAGCCTATCGCACGGACCCTCCTGGCTCCTCTTGTCATGAGGCACTGAGTAAGTGGAAACAGTCCAGACTTCGCGGGTTCATGCAAGTCTCTCAATTTGGCGTTCCAATTCAGCAAGGGAGGTGAGACTCAAAAGAATTCAGTGAGGAAAAGTCCAAATATAAAAGGCCTTGCGTGCCTCATGATTCTGAGAGCGTGGCTATTGTGTTGAAGCAGTTACCTGGGTCGCCACGTCTCCCCAGACTATACGGTAGCCGTCTGCTCACTTGTAAGGAGGTCCGACTGCACCTTTGAATTGGGCTGACCTGGAGCATAGATCCGAACAAGAAACTACTGTTAGCACTACTCCATATCTCCTGCGGAGTTAGGTGAGAATCCGTACCAGAAGGCACTTGTGAGGTCTCTAGCAGGTACTTATGTTCACTCTGGAATAGGATTTGAGATGGCGCTCGTCGACTACACTTCATACGTGCCTGGGCTGTTCGATCGTGCAGTGCAAGGCAATATAGTTCAACTTCAAAACTTTATGAATGAGTTTATCTTGAAGATTTTGTCGGAAACGGATTACAACACTGAGCTGGCCTGGGCGATACCGATGCAAGAAGATGTCGCCGAACATGCCCGATACTTCATCATACTACGCGACGCAAAACCGATTTCTTATGGGGCAGTGTCGACGAGAGAGACCAATGATGCCATGAAGAGAGAAGTTGCTTGTCGATTTAACCAGAAAGCCCTTGTGCCTCTGAAACGTGATGGCGGGTACATATCCGTCACTGCTAAAGAAGACAAGGCTTTGAAAGTCGAATTTGCTATAGTATATCGGGCTGAGCAAGGTGACCCTCGCGTCGACCCTGTGCTGGACGGGCCTGGTATGAGTACTATCGAACTAAAAGAGGAGGATAGCGAAATTGTTAGGGTTGAGAAGGAGAAGTCTTTCCGGGCTTTCCTTTTTGAGACCATCCAAGATCTACCTGTTCCTGAATAAATTAGTCAGATATCTTGATGCTACAACCGAATATTTGTTGGTCTCACATGGTGTGCTAGTACCTATTTATTTCCTCCTCTAGTCAATCAATAAAAAAAATCCCAAGCCTTGAACAAGGCTGGATGCCCACTATCTTGCTGGTTATATGTGTGTGTGTGCTTGTTTGCTTATTCTATTTTCTCACTCACCGGGCAACCGATTAGTGGTATTGCTTGGCTTGTGTGACTTGAGTGTGGATTGTCCTCCAGCGCAGACAATAAATTTGGCATTCCACACCTCCCAACAGCTTCATATCCATGCTGTTCTATGTTCTATGAGTAACTCACTTTTTGTTCAGAATGAAGGGCTTTTACAATGTTCAGTGTCCAATATGCCTGATCTCCGTTGAAGTACAACAACAGGATTGTTTTTATATACTCCCTGTGTATCCAGCGACCGCAAAGCTTTTCTCCCACAAGGACTGGCAGCTCAAGGAAAACTCTGTGATTACAATTGGTGACCTTGACCTTTGGCAGGGTGAAACATATCCCACACTTGGGTATCAACAGCGGTCATTTCTCATTCATCAGAGATGTTATGAGCTCATTAGCCCACTTTCACCCTTGCAACTCCGTCTTCTGATTGATGTAGTGGAGCCAACTTTCCTTCCCCTAATGCCTCCCTTGCCTTCAGTTGCACATGGAGCCTTTTACTCATCAACTCCTTGCCGCCTCACATCGACTAAGCTTAAACTGCACCTCAGTCGCTTGCCACTTGAGATCCAAGACAAGATACTCGAACACGACATTGGGCGCCTATTATTCGTTATGAGGACGGCTTCACAGCTAGTACCCATCCATGATAGCGACCTGAAGGCAGTCCCTGAACACAGATTCACAGAGGAGACGTTGGCTCTGAACAGCAACACAATCAGGATCTATTTTGTCGTTGTTGGTGGTCGAACCTATATCAGCCACCTCTCAGATGCGGCTAGCCCGGTACCTCCACTATGTGCTCGAAGGCGTATAATCCTGGTGGTTGTGTCTGCTTTTCTCAACTGGATACTCCACATGCTGCAATGGATGCCCCGAGACAGTATTCCACTTGCTATTGTGGCAGCGCTGGGATTCATGCTCTTTTCATCCACAGGATTGGCACTACTGGGTACGACCAGAAATGAAAGAATGATCCAAGAATATACGCTTGAAAAAAGGAACTATCTTGCAATCCAAAGTGATGGGATGGGTGTTATAGATGTTGCATTTGAACAGACCTCTACTGGGCCAAAATGGATCCTAAATAGCCACGCCCACCCCTTCCAAGCTGAAATATCTGTGAACCCATGCGCTGACACCCGAAGACTCCGGATCATTCGAGATGTAAATCAGTTTCCCTTTTCCTTTCTACTTTCATCAACTATTTTGCTAACCCCATCACAGACTCAGAAGTGCCGCGCAATTATTTCTCTTAATCGATCTGGTGCAGAACCATATTTCTGTGGCAAACTGGTTCCCCCACAAGATTCTTGGGTTGATTCTGGTTTTCCTGTGGAGTCCAGCCTCACGTTATCCCACGCCCCATTTGCATACTTCACACATGCAACTTACATTTCTTTTGCTACGATAAAGAACATCAGGTTCCGAGTTGAACATTTGCGGTGTGGGATCATAGAGATCGAGGTGGATATCCCAGACCCACAGAAGAAATTGTATTTTGTTAGCTTCCCTCGTCCTCCGCGGGTTCTAAGATTCTCTCTTTGTGGGAAAACATTCGCCGATCGGCAGACGTTTCAGATTCCATATCTTCAGGTATGTATACTAACATAAAGCCGGTTTGCTGAGGTATGTACCCGACTAATACTTTGGCTTAGTTTGAGGTTGATGGCCAGTGGAGTCCTCCCCTTCCTCCTCGTTGGTTTCATCTTCAGGAACCCATCCTAATCGAGAATGTCCTGGGAATCTGGTGGGGTAAACCTTTTCCATTTATTCCACTTCATATTGGTGCCGTAGTCTCCGATAGGACAAATCTCCGAAACACAATAATAGTCTGAAAATCTTCCTTGCAAAGCTTCCACATCTATCATAGCTTAAAATTTAGTCCCTTTTACATCTGGCTATTCAATCTATACATCTCTTGAGAAGTTCATTCGGGATCCGGGTGGTTTTGTTACCTGACTTTGCCAGAAAAAAATGAATGAGGCATTGACTGGCTAGGATTGAGGTCTGATCTCTGGCGCCAGCGTCTCCGGGACTTCTTGGCCTTGTTGTCTTCACAGGCACTCGTCCAGACCAAAACAACATTGGCTCGCGATACCTAGGCAAGGGGCTCAAGGTCGGCCTTGGACCGTCAAGGGGGAAAAGTCTGAATTCATCATGAACGTGTAGAATTTCGTCCTTCGAAGGGTTCCAAATGCATAGAGTCGTAGCCCACAAGAAAACCTATTAAGGCGTGTGGCTCCCGCTTCTCTCCCTTTTTGCAATAACATCTGAGGGTATGAGGCAACTAATGTAGAAGTGCAGGCTAGAATGCTTGGCAAGGTCACGGGTAGATAACTAACTAGTTAGACCAAAAGCGGACAAGCGTGTTTTATGCCTGCGTGACTTCGTGACGAAAATCGACGGCGCGACTTCTCATTTGAATTCCGCGAGGATGCAGCGCAGCTACAATGCCACCTCACTGCACACTGAGAGGTGGCATCTTGTCTCGCGCGTACCTTGTGGCTCGTCCAGTAACGCACTCCCTTTTATCGCGGAACCTTAGCGCCGCTGCGTCCACCTCTGCTCGAAAGCTAGATCTACTAGCCATAGACAGAAAATGGAAGGAAAAATGGAACTCAGCAGCAAGCTCCAAAACCCAGACTTCTCGCCCCACGAGCGGTGCAACCAAAGCATATGTGCTCCCCATGTTCCCCTATCCGTCAGGGGCATTACACATGGGTCATGTCCGTGTATATACGATTTCGGACGTGCTGGCTCGATATAAACGAATGAAAGGCTATGACGTGCTGCACCCTATGGGCTGGGATGCGTTTGGATTGCCAGCCGAGAATGCCGCAATAGAAAGGGGTATCAGCCCTGCGGAGTGGACTCGAAAAAATATCGCTGCGATGAAGGAGCAGCTACAGGCGCTGGGAACGGATTTTGATTGGGACAGGGTATGATACTGTGTCCACCCAAGGAGCATTGGTGAAGTCTGGTCCGAGTGGGAGAAGAGTGCTGATTCCAACCCTTTGCGCGCGCTGCGCCTCAAATGACCTACAGGAGTTAACGACATGTTCACCTGATTTTTACAAGCACACTCAACGTCTATTTTTATTACTTCACAAAAAGGGCCTTGCATATCAGGCGAATGGGATAGTCAACTATGATCCTATTGACAAAACCGTATTAGCAAACGAGCAGGTACTGTAATATCGATGTAAGCCGGTACGTTGGTGTCTAATAGTAGTCACTATAGGTAGACGCAAACGGCTGCTCATGGCGATCAGGCGCCAAGGTCGAGAAGCGTGAATTGAAACAATGGTATCTTCGAATCACTGCATTCAAGGAAGCCCTACTCAACGATCTAGAGTATCTTACCGGCGGTTGGCCAGAACGCATCTTATCGATGCAGAGGCACTGGCTCGGAAAGTCAAAAGGGGCGCGCTTGACGTTCAAACTACATCTGCCTTGCGAGGACACAAGTATTCAGGTATATACTACACGAGCAGATACCCTTCCAGGAGTTCAATATATCGCGCTTGCTACAGATCACCCCCTGGTGACAAAATTAGCAAAAACGGACTTACAGCTTAAGGCATTCCTTGGTTCTGCAAGCTCATTTCCACCTACTTCGAAAGCAGGCTATCGCCTACTTGGCACGGAAGCCCTCAATCCTCTCCGTGCAATTGAACATGAGTCGAATATTTCTGTTAAACTTCCAGTTTTTGTGGCGCCATACGTCCTAGGTGACTACGGTGAAGGAGCTGTCATGGGTGTTCCTGGGCACGACTCTCGGGACCTTTTATTCTGGACCGAGAACATGAAGCACGCACCTGTCACTTCAGTCATCGATCCAAGTTCTTCAAGCCAGCCACCTCGTAACCCGGGTAGTCATGAATTCGAGCCTTTTACAGGTGAAGGTATACTTAATAAGCATTGTGGAACATTCAGCGGCCTGTCCTCAGAACAAGCGAGGGAGAGCATTGTCTCATGTCTTCGTGACAAAAACGGTTCAGCAGATTTTACTGAGCGCTGGAGGCTGCGAGACTGGCTAATTAGCCGCCAACGCTACTGGGGCGCACCAATCCCCATTGTTCATTGCGGTGACTGCGGTGCGGTTCCTGTCCCTTCCAACGAGCTACCAGTCAAATTGCCCGTAATAAATGGAGCCGGGTTGAAAGGGATAACTGGAAACCCTCTCGAATCGGCTGAGGATTGGTTATATACGCCTTGTCCGAAATGCAAAAAGCAAGCAAAGAGAGACACGGACACCATGGACACATTTGTCGATTCGTCATGGTACTTCTTAAGATTCTTAGATGTATCAAATGAAGAGATGATGTTTTCTCCTTCTTTGGCACGACCGGTGGATACTTATATCGGCGGTATCGAGCACGCGATTCTACATTTGCTTTACTCAAGATTTATATACAAATTTCTAGCTACTGCTGGATTGGCACCCGGTGTTCATTCGAACATGCCAGATGCTGCGGAGCCCTTCCTTAACCTTCTTTCTCAGGGTATGGTACATGGGAAAACATTTTCCGACCCTTTAAGTGGCCGCTTCCTACGCCCTTCAGAGGTTGATCTTTCCACACCGGGCTCCCCCGTCCTGACTGGGACGAGAATCGCACCAAATATATCATTTGAAAAAATGTCGAAAAGCAAACATAACGGAGTTGATCCCAGCACGTGTATTAGCAAATATGGAGCGGATACCACAAGGGCGCATATTCTCTTTGCAGCACCTGTCAGTGAAGTTCTTGAGTGGGATGAATCAAAAATTGTGGGCATTCAACGATGGTTCAACAAGGTGTGGAAAATAGTGATTGACTTGCAACAGTCGTCAGTCCTAAATGAACTTGATTTCAGCCAGGAAGACCTTCTTACACCCCAGTTGCCACCTTTGGGCGAACTTTCTGATGAAGAAGCAGGCGTGCTTCTTGTTGCACACTCCACCATAGTTTCCGTCTCGACATGCCTAGCACAAAACCCGTATGCTCTCAACACCGTGGTATCTAATCTAATAAAACTCACAAACACACTGTCATCTCTATCATCTTCCGCCAATTCGACACCTGTGTACTCAAAAGTTATATCCTATATTGCCGTCTCTTCTCTCCTACGACTACTAGCCCCTATCGCCCCCGCATTTTCCTCGGAATGTTGGCAGGAACTACATGCTTGTCTTCAAAACCAAAATGTTAATTGTGGTTCAAAACCAGTACTTTCAACACAATGGCCAAGACCATTACTGTCAGACATGCAGTTTGGACTCCTTCGGGACCGTGGCTCCAAGACAGTGGCAGTTCAAGTGAACGGAAAACTACGGTTCACAACAACAATTCCCCATTTCTTGCCATCTATCTCGCATTTAAAGCAAAGCTGCGACGGCCAGGATTTCCAGGAAGATTCAAAGCTAAAGAAGGGAGTGACAAAAGAAGAGCAGCTGTGGATTTTATCACACATTCTGAAGACAGAAAAGGGGAAAATTTGGCTGACGCAGAAGAATGATTGGGAAAAAAGAAAACGTATTGTTGTCGTAGGTGGTGGAAAGGTTGTTAATGTTGTTTTCTAGCTTGTACGATTAGGGTATGAAATGGATACATTGGTAGATAAACATCAGACAGTGATCACGTTTACTAGATAATTTGGATTGCACTTTTGAAAGCGTTCATTCAGCTTTAGGTGAAAGATCATAAGATAGAGCTAGTATACACCAATATCAAAGAACTCACAGGCTTCAAGCCAGGGCACAGAGTACAAGAAATAAAAACGTATAGGAATAAGTCGGTATAGTATAAACAAAAACCCGTTAAAATGCATTGTCGTATCTTAAAAGAAGGGTAAAATGAAGGCATAACTTGGAGTCCATAAGACTCCCTTTCTTGGTAACGAATATGGTATAGATTACAGACCAGCGTTATATCCACCGAGTTTGGGAATAAGCTTTGTTTGGTAGAAGAGGTGTGTCCTGTGATAGAGGCCATCCTATATTTGCCTCTAGTTCTCTTTGGGTGGTTTGTGGTAATTTTGGATTAGGGGGAAGGCCGTTTTGCTTTATAGATTGTGGAGATCCAGGGAGGCGATTGCTGGGCGAAGGGGGATTGACTTGCAAAGGGTGCATGGTGGCATGAGAGTCCAGAGACTTTCTCCGCCTTGGAGACGACGGGTTGCTGACACTGGAGAATCGGGAAGGAAGAAGGCGACTCGGAATATGGATTGGGAGGTTTGCTAACCTCGAAGAACTTCGTGTCTGTTGTGCTGGAAGTGGCACCGGGATGCCACTCAGGCATAGCCCAATTTGCACTGTAGCCGCACTTATGTCGGAAGAACGCCGTCGATGGCTAAAATATGGCTGAGGAGGAAGAAGAATTTGATCATCAATATCTGTCATAGATAAAATGGATGACGTCCCCGGAGACGAATCGTTAGAAGTGGAATAACTTTGTCTATTCTGGACATGTTCAGTAAGACGCTCCATGGAGCTACGACCATCGGGAAACATTGCTCCTGAAAATGTCTTTTCCTTTCCAAATGGTGACTCTGGCATAAGCCGTTGTGTAAACCTTTTGGCCATAAAATTTTCTTGCTTCACCGCACTATTATTTCGCTCGAGACCCACAGGCATAATCATTTGTTGGGCAACAGCGAATTCCGTGGAATCAGTATATCTTCTTGGAGCCTTCATGAACCATATCGGATTTGCGGACCGAGTAATGATGTTCTGACCACTCGCACGGAGCAGAAGGAACAACACACCATTGACAATGCCGAAAAGGTTTATGACAATTGACATCATCATCGCCGGTACATTCGTAGAACGAAATGTTGTCAATTCTATCCAAAACGGTAAAGTAAATACCTGTGGGTGAAAACGTAAGTATGTCCCTAAAAGAAAGCAGAATGAAAACCCACAAATATTACAGCGTTGACAACGAGATAGTAAATTTGGTTCCGTGTCGCGATCTGTTGCTCAAGGCTCATTTTTCCAGGTCGCCGAAGTCGTATCGACAAGGTCGCGGCGTTAAGAAGAAAGAAAAGAATAGTTGCAGATGTAATGGCTGTGCCGATGTCCGCCCAGGGGGCCATCCATTGTGTTAAATCGGCATTACAGACTCTTCTTACAACAGGTCTGAAATGGGACGGTAGCCATGTAAGAAGCAGGAGAACAATTACGATAAGCCAATGGACTGAAGCAGAACTTCGACAAGGAGATGTTGAGTAAGTTGGGCTAATGCTCCGGAATGCGGCTTCGAAGCTGAATACCAGTATCGTATACGCAACAACCCAAGTAGCTAAACCACACATTAGCCGAGTTGGACTTTCTCGCTCTAGAAAAAAGTACTCACCGGTCCAAGTAATTTGAGAATATACTGGGCAGTGTGCGGCGCGTACACCTTGAAGCCCCATAGCCTGTACCGAAATGAAAGCGGTGCCTTGGATAATGGTGGAAATGGCGAGAGCATTAGAGAAGACATGGGCGGTAGGTATTGTCGTGAGAAATTCCAATCTCCTGCACGTATCTGCTGAGTATTATTGTCCACGAAAATTAGGGATATGCATACCTCCGTGGTACTCTCAGGCCAGCAAGGCGCCAGCTGTCGTACAAGATAGTCCCAACAACGACAATCGACGCGAAGACATTAAACGTGGCTATTACAACGATCGAAATCCGACTCTGGATGCTGAACTTCAGAAATAGGTTTTTGACCAAGGCCGCATTGCCAGCGGCCTCGTCGTTGCTCTTCTGCAGTGCGTTGAAAACTTGGTCTTCCATTGCCTTCTACCACTCGGAATCATGAGGGGATAAACAAAGGCGATGAGAATCTTAATGAGCTCCGCATAGCACAAAGTAGGGCAGACATCTCATTGCAATGAAAGAGCTGGAGAAGGCCGCAGGCTCTCGTTGCGAGAAGGAGGAGCGAGAGGGTTCGGAATTGGCTGAGGGCGGCGGGAGGGGGAAAACGGTTTCTGGAAAACTCAAGAGCAAGAAACTAAAGCCTAGGATATTTACTTGCTCTGGTCTCCATCTGCTTGATGCTGCCCACGCAGCCGTGGTTTCAGTGGCGATGCTGGCACACCCAAAGGATTTGAAATGCCAACCAGCTCTTAAGGGTGGCTCAAGGTTCATGGCGTGTTCAAGTACATTAAAAATTGTGATACAGTAGCTCATCCCAGTGACGTTTATCACCGAGTACAACGTAAATTTCCCCGGAGGTTACCGACAGTCAGGAGACTTTGGAGAACTAGATCCAAGAGAGATGACGGGGGTAAAGGCACAGGCCAAAGTATACTCTCCCTGGTTCTTGTACTGGAACAGGCGGATCCGTGGTCCAGTAAGACAGTCATGCAAGCTGAAACTGTTAAGAGCAAAATATCATAATAAACGGCCCAGATTAGAAATCCTAACCCAAAAGAGGTAACTCGCTAGGTATTCTGTAACATGCTGATACGAGAGCGAAAATGGCCCAGAATGGAAAGAAAACGAGGAAGCGTAGCCATTTTCATCGGGAAATTGAACACTGAAAGGGTCCAAAATCTTAAGTAGGCTTGCATTTCCGGCATAGTTTGCTTTCACAGCGGAAAAAGGCTTAGGCAAGAACCCACTCTGCATTATAACTTGCCATCGCCACTAGGTAGCTCCGTTCTACCTAGTATAAGATGTACTAGACAGCTATGAAGTATACAACGCATTGAATTTTGCCAACGGGTCAATGGAGTGGCGTGCCGAGATGCGTAAATATTTTTGTACGGAGTGGCTCCACGCTGTCGAGGAGAGCCCATCCATGTAGACATCGGAGCTTTTGCCCCTGGTAGTACTGGGGGATTGAGGAACGGGGTACCAGCTTATGACGATCTCCCGCTGCTGCGTGGCGTCGCTGTAACTATCAAGGCTGGTCAGACACAGGATTCTGCCAGGGCGAGTAGCGTTTTTGTTTTTTGGGCACCAGGCCTCTATGTGATTGGTGCCAGTGAGAGTAAAAAAGAGAAATAAACGTTCAATTAGGGACACAAAGAGGGTTTCCAAAAGCCGGCACACGCATGTGTAATGTCCACAGCTTCGTAGCCATGATTTCAGCCCCGTACTATGGGCCAAGGACGGATGGTGCGCACGGAGTAGATAAAAGACAAATAATAGCCCAGGATCGACCACGAAGCACCCACCAAGTGGCACTTGAGGCGGTTCACGAACGGTAAATTCAAGGGACAAAATTGCAGGGATCTCGCGGAGGTGTTCTGAAGGAATACGGGCACGATGGTCATGGGTGCTTTCTGGGCAATTCTGAATAGGTCATCAGTATCTGTATTCTGGGCTTCTCCCTCTTCATGTCTCACTCTAGTCGTATCACAGTGGAAGCCATTTGATGGTGCTTCATTACTGATACACCATCAGTTTCATCTTACCGACAAGAAGGGATGGCGTTATCGCCTTTTATAGTCGGGACCTCATGATCATCACGTGGCAGGCCATCCTGGTAAGGGACGCGTTCCTCGCGCCCTTTTGTTTGTTAATGACGCGAAATGCGTGGCTGTGTGGACATCATAGCAAGAGACAGCTCCTGCCCAACATTCAACCTTTTACTTTCGCCATAGCCTCACTGTTACTCTACCCTTCCTGCTAGAGCCATCTATTATCACTTTTCCGTCCATGGATGAGCCCAATTGCTGAAACACTCCTCCCAAAATCAGCACTCTTTCATGTGAGGAAACAGTGTACTCCCATAAGTAGGTCGTTTTCAAAAAGAAAATGCTGACTACACCCTAAGATTGTTTGGTTAACAGTGCAGTTGCCCCATTTCTCAAGGAACACCAGCTAATTTTGAACGCCCGTCCAATGACATTATACCTCAATGTTAATCACTCTTGTGATGGAAGTTCTATCCTCAACGTGCTGTGCAAGCCTCGGCTTCCATGCCCAAACTTCACAACAATGTCAATAATTCATGTATACGACCAAGGAGGAAATAGCTACTGTTTCCCACTTCAGAGTGATCAAAAGCTATTATAGGGCTCACAAAATATAGACACGGACCCTGCATGACGCCACTTCTTTCTTCTAAGCTACCGCACTGATGCCGTCTTCCCGAAATGATACTGCTCTTGCGTATTCGCCGTTTCTTAGCGAGTATTCTTTCTCAATTGATCAGTACTCTTTATTACTCTCTGATGCATGGAATAAGTGGCGAATCGGAAATTTTTTCTTTAAACCTTTGGCTCAATAGAGAAACGTATCGGTAGCCTTAGATGCAGGAGATTTGTTCGGCAGCAGCAAGACATACGGGGCTCCATATTGCTGTGTTCTTAAGACCTCTTTTCTCCGTGGAAACCATTGCCATTTCCTTCATATTTTCGACGAGAAGCTGTACTACCCCTCAATAGCAGCAGTCTAATACCAACACTGTGATCGCGCTTCTCTGATTTGATTAACGGCAGAAGCAAGATGATGTATAGTTATCACCGACCCACGTTATGAAGGTATCAATACGACCGGCTACAAGTTGTCCCGGCTGCAGGCCAAACTTCTACAGTGCGCCATTCATCGTACAAAACATTGCCTATTCTCATGCGAGACAGATGTATTAGCCGAAATGATAGGCGTGAAATGCACTATCAAGGCCAATTGCAAAAACATCCCAAAAAACAAGAAATACAAATAGGTTGTCATAGTTATAATTTAAAGTAATAGACGGCATCCTCGCTCTTGAGATCAGCTATGTTTGTTACATGTTTCTGTCCCGAATTCTCATCCAATCATTGAGTTATGAATATATTTGGCTAACTAGTTGGTTGTTTGTTTCTTTACTTAGCTCCGCTTCTCATCACGGATTTGACTCCGCTGGCCATATGCCTTGGTAACATAGTCACCAGCATGAACAATAAGGTCTTCGTTCTTGTAATCAAATTTGCCGGAGAAATAAGACTGAAGGATATCCTTAGTACCCTGGGCATAGCGAATTTGAGCATCGATGGAAGTTCCAGACATGTGTGGAACCATGGCGTTGCCACCACTCCAAGGGCCTTCGGCATAGCGGAGGGGGTGATCCTTAGGAGCAGGTTGTGGGAACCAGACATCACCACCATATCCGCGGAGATGGCCAGATTTGACTGCTTCGGCAACATCCTCCTTGACGACTATTGCTCCACGTGCTGTATTCACAAGCCAGGAGCCTGAAAATTACGTTAGATATCATCAAAATCACCATCAACATCATAGACAGGAATGAGGATATTCAAATACCTTTCTTCATCTTTGAAATCAATTCTTTGTTAAACAGTCCCTGTGTTTTTTCATGAAGAGGGCAATTGATAGTAACAACATCACATTGAGCCAGCATTTCTTCCAAATTCTCAACACGTCGACATCCGATCTCCTTCTCGGCCTCGGGGCTAAGGGGTTGGTAGTCGTAGTACAGGAGCTCCTTACAATCGAAGGGTTTCAACCGACGAAGCACTCGCTCACCAATACGGCCAACAGCAACGGTTCCAACAACTTTGCCTTCAAGATCATATTCATTTTTCGCAACAGCAGCGACGTCCCACTCGCCTTTTACGATTTGTTCGTGGGCCGGAACGAAGTTTCGAACAAGGACTAGAATGGTCATGACAACATGTTCGGCGACAGAAACGACATTGCAGCCGGTAACTTCAGCAACAGTAACGCCGCCATTAGTTTTGTTGGCGGCATTGAGGTCGACATGGTCGGATCCGACACCCGCAGTCACTGCAAGTTTCAGCTTCTTTGCCTTCGCCAAACGTTCAGCTGTAAGATAGCCGGGGTGAAATCTGAGCAACAGACAATAGTCAGGATCTGGAGCTTCAGAGAACAAGCTACGACTCACGGTGTAGTGATGATGACTTCAGCATCGACAAGTTCACGATCAAAGGTTGACCCATCGCCGTCCTTGTCACAAGTGGTCACCAAAGTATGGCCGTTGTCTTCAAGCCATTTTCTCAACCCAAGTTCATTCTGGGTTGTTCCCAGTAAGCCAGGTTGCTGCTTCGCATGTTCTCCTCCCTAAAGCGTCGCGTTAGAATACAGAATTGGTTCTCGTGGGAATCGGAAGGGGACTTACATCATACATAACCATCAGAACTTTACCCTGTCGATTCGATGTCGCGGTTAGTGTCCGGGTAGTAGTCAATGACAGAGGGAAAGGGGAGGGAGGCGCCCGTATACCCCCTCGACTGGCGAGGAGGGGCACGGATCGAGGTAGATTTCGAGAAAGAGAGCGGAGAAATACCATCTTGAATAATTGTATGTAATGAAAGCTTGGAACTTGAAATGATTAGACAAGATCCTGGGTGTTTTTATATAAGGGTAACTGGCTTGAAGGACGAGATTAGCTCAGGCAAGGAGGGGGCTTGGAGGATTCTGTGGAGAGAAGGTCTCCAACTGGCAGCGAACCGCGTATCTCGTGAGCTCACTGGGGGGAAGGTTGCAAAGGGAAAGCAGAGGAGAGCAAACAGAGAGAGATGATGAAAGGGGGAAGGAGGAGTGAGAATGCAGCTGGGCATAGTATTTATAGTTGGAGGGCCGCACAGCCCATAGTCCCTCGAGGTCACAGTGCTTCGGGGAGGAGGAGAATGGCTGTGCGGGGACGCAAGTTGTGCAACCCTGCGGGCGTCGGATCCCCGCACAGAGGGGCGGCGGTGCGGGGGTGAGCTTGGCGCGAGGGGTGCTGCTGATAAGGCTACTTATCAGGGCCTTGGCGATTTTGTGGGGGCCAGACCACATATATGGAGTGAGGAGGAAACCTTCATTTCACCAAACTATCCGGATTCTACTCGGCAAGACTGTTTTCAATGGTGCTACCTATGGATATATGTCTGACAAGAGATCGAAAGATACAAGTGAACAATTTTTGTGTTATGGGTGACCCCAGTATAGCCATTATTCTTGTCCAGGCAATCTTCCGCCAAACACTTTGGTGCTTTCTGGGATATTTGGAAACACATTTACCTAAAGTTTGTAAATTTATCCTTGGAATAGCTTTGCTATGTACATCAAGTTAACAGCATTCATTTGTATTTTCTAAGATGGAAAACTCACTTGTCACTGTATACCATAATACAAAATGACGCACACGTTCATTCCCTAGCTTAGCAGGAAGTGTTTGCTCTAGAACTAGAGGTAGATATGCTACACCTAGGCGAATGGGTCTGTTGCTTCATTGATTAGATACGGATGAACCACAGGTGATTAATGTGAGAAAGCTAGGGCACTAACTTCATGGCATCTCCTTGAGACACAGTGAACAGACTTTGTACCTCCGGGGAGGGGACAGCTGCTTGTTGTGGTGGCTGCAGAACATGTGTTACACGTATTATTGTCACTGAAATCTTGCCCTGTGGGTATTCATGTTCAGGGGCCTCATGTCCACAAGGAAGAAGTAGAAGGTCTGTCAAAGAGTGTAAGTTTAAAACTCATCTCACTGAAATCATCAGGCAACGTACATGGGGGAAGATCCACAAAGGAGAAGAGAACTTTTTCAAACCCCCCTGGTGCACCAATAATAGCATTGTCAATTACTTTGATGAACAGTCCTTCACGGTCCACCTCCATTTCAGTAAATTTAAATGAATAGAAATGATTGACTATGGCACCCTGATCGATTTTAAGTGTAACATGTAGCCCATCTCCAACTGAGACATCAAACTCTGGTCTCAAGCGGATATTGATAGCAAAAGTCTGCCCCGGAGGTGCAATGACAGCTTTTGAGATGCGTGTACTGTTGGAAGCCCAAGCAACTACATCATCCTCATAGGCGGTTGAAATCGGAAGGCCCTGCTCTTGCAATGGAAAATTCAAGTTGGAAAGCATGATCAATACTTCAATCCCATCAATGATAGCCATTCCTATATGTAGGTGCTTGGCAAGTCAAAACGAGACTATGGTACCTGCCAGTAGTAGCGTAGGGACGGATGAAATTGAATAAATAAATCTCGAAAAGGATTAATGCTTTGAAAACAAATGGGAGATAGGTAAAATTTTTCACAGATATTCTTTATATCATGGTGGCGTGAATGAGATAATACAACTTTGAGTGTATTCTGTTGTGGCATAAGTGAATGGATGTCAAAAAAAACAACCTGTGTTGAGATGTATATAGCTTCCTTTTAGTCCACTTGAATAGTGGTTCTAGGTCTATTCCAAGACGTGATTCAAAGGAAAGAAATATGAAGTCTTCAAAACATACTGCTGTCATTTGGGCATCCAGTATATAAGTTCTGGGTGAGAGAAAAAAAAAGGACAAACAGAAATTGGCGAAAATATGCGCCCAATGGAAATATTTTTCGATATGCAGCAGGCTTTTGGGTCCTCAAATTCCATAGGGGTCGTAGGATCCACACAGCTATCTAACTCCGGCTGCTGGCTTAAGGGTCTGGAAGTGAATGAATGTCTGGATAATATGGCAATATTTCTTTCATTGAGTACGGGCTTACTGATGTAAGTGTTGGCTCAGCCTATCATTACCAGAATCGTCTTCGCTGTCGTCCATGAATCCTTCCTCCAACTCTCGGCTAAGACGTCCTTCAGTACCCAAAGGATCGTCTCTCCGTCTTTCCAGGGCAGCTCGCCGGGTAGGATCCATTTCAAAGCCTACTAATCCTTCACCTTCTTCTTCGTCGAAGAGACTCCCAGAGTCGTCCTGCCTTTCGGCAAACTGTGTTGACCTCCAGGCGGAGGGGAGCATGAAATGCATCAAAGCGTCAGATGCGCGCTCTCGAAGGGAAGCTGTGTGAATGGTTAGGGTATGAAGAGGGAGGTATTGCGCATATCGTTGCCGATAGTTTCGAATGAATGGGACAACTGCGTAGAACAATACGAGATACAGGGCCAAGGATATGAGGGCGGGAATGAGGAGGGTCTAAGCTCTTTCGTTAACTTTTCGTTTACGGAGCAAAAATGGAAAGCAAGCATACCTTAAAAAGACTCGTCGCGGGCCCCATAGCTCGACAAGAAAAGTCAGCTATACTCGTTTTTTGAGCAAAGCCTTTTGGTTAAAAAGAGTGTTAAACACCTGTCTAAGCCTTTGAGAGCCACGTCACCAACACTCCTCTGGTAGCTGGCTCTTATCAACTTAGTGACATGGTATCGTTATATTAGGCCGGCCGACCATAAGGAAAACATGAGAGCATCAGCGATAAGGAGTAATTCGAGAACAGTTGCGCAAGTGAGACAAGGCCTTTCTTCCCCTCTGACTAAGCAACACGTACAAAGTACTCCATACAAAGTAACTACCTCGAGGATCATTATAACAACATTCCTCTATATTTCAGCCAATAGGGGGCATCAAACCATCTGTACGGAGTACCAATATGCTCCATCATGCACAGCCGTTTGTACTCCCACTCAATTTTATGTGCGAAATCAATAGGAAACAGTGTGCGACAAACATTGTACTAAGTCATTCAGCAGTGGCACGCATTGTTATGGTCATAATGGATTATCCCTATCTAAGGAGTATGACTTCATTTATTGGTTATATCAGTCCTGGACCATGGTGCTCATTTTCTCTTTTCTCCAACTCCTGTTCATTGACTTAAATTGGTGTTGTGATCGCTGGCGCTGCAAACAGTACAAACACTGTTGACAAAATAGACTAAAGTTAACTAACTAAGGTAACTAGTCAATTGCACGTGATCGTCCACTTAGCCCTTTTCAGCCACCCCTTAGCTGCTCCGCGCCGCGCTTGCTCAGATGGAGGCCGACAGCTGAATATCATCGTTTTGAATTCGCAATCTTCCTAACGTCCTATCTATCTGCCTTGAAGGCCGCTGATCTAGTTATTGCTATAGCCGCACTGCTACCCTCTCCTAACTTTGGTCTACAATACTGCTGCTTCGAACGATCCCAAGCCCCAAATAGGCGCTGAATAACACCTCTTCTTCATGCATCGATCGCATGAGGACGTCGGCTAGCTCCCGCTGTGCAGGCAGAAGTGGTGAAGTCGCTGCTCTGACTTGTAGGTAGTTTGCATTACCGAGCTCGACACCGTTGCCTAGAACGCTCCTCACCAACCTACTCCATGTTGCCGGAGATTCATACCAAGCGTTCAAGTTCATGACTTCTTCGAAATGCCTCGCCCTCCAACTCCTTCGGACAAATCCAATAAGTCGTCCGCTAGCAAATCCTTTTTTGGGAGGAAGCTGCACAAAGATCGAAGTGCGGATTCGAGGGAAGGCACATCGGACGCGTTAAGTGTTGCGGGCAGCGCACCGGGATCGCGCTCCTCTAGGCACTCTAAACGAGACTCCCTGTATACCTTGGATTTGCCAAATGATATGGACTCCTCATCATCGGGGATAATTACTTCCATACCATATGACAGCGTTCCTCCAAACTCTAAGTCTCCAATACCTGTCGATTACCTTCCAAAATCCGAACTCCCGGCGCGAAAGGAAATTTCACCGAATAGCACCAAAAGCCCTTACGAATACTCTCAGTACCATTCATTTCACAACGGCACGTCCACGGTGCATCTCTCGGGCCCTAGACCCCCGCCGCATTCCGCCATGAGCCACTACGACAAATCTGGCAAGCAATACAATTATCCATATTCTACACCGGATTCGTCTGCCAACTCTCGTTCATCTTTGGACCAAACTAGTGTGTACTCCTCCGTGTCATCGGCAACTCGAGCATCGACTCAAGATAACTCTTCTCGTCTTCTCTCTGCCGGCTACTTTCCAGAGCGCTACCCTCCTGGAACAAGCGCAACAGGCTACCGAAATGCCGATCCTTATCAAAATAATTGGCCTAATTACACTACGCCACTTCAACTCTCCTCCGATGGCACTTTTCAACAGCCAAAAGATGACAGAGTTGTCGATCAAATGTTTTACGAATTAATGATTAAACGAGGATGGCAAAATTTACCAGAGCAGGCAAAGACGCAAATGCTAGCATATCCAACAGCGAAGAAGTGGACCTTGGTGCATCAAGATCGTCTCACGCAATGGAAAGGAGAACAGAAACGACGGCAATATTCTAGACAAACCTATGGCTCGTCGGATGGACCAAGGGGCTTACTTGATCGTGCTGACGAGGAAGGAAGTCCAGAGTGGTACGTCAAAAAGGTTATGGATGATGACATCTCTCCCAAAGAACTTGGAAGCCTGAGCGTCAGCCTGCGAACACAGCCCATTAGGTAGGTTTATCCAGATTTTTGTTTTGTAAAATTTTTGAGTCCCAATGATTGATTATTGTGATATAGTTGGGTGAAAATGTTCGTGGAGGCGCAAGGCCAGATTGCCTTAACCAGTGTCTTGCTCAAGATCAATAGACGGAAAGCTTCAGGGCCTGCTCCTCCGACGTCCCAATCCGGAGACAAGGATTTAGACCGCGAGTACGATATTGCCAAATGTCTAAAAGCCTTGATGAACAACAAGTATGGTGCTGATGATGCCTTGGCACATCAGCAAGTTATTGTCGCCTTGGCAAGCTCTTTGATATCTCCTCGCCTCACTACTCGGAAAATGGTCAGCGAGATCTTGACGTTTTTGTGCCATTGGGCCGATGGTCAAGGCCACCTGAAGGTTCTGCAGGCCATGGACCATGTAAAAAGTATGCAAGGGGAAACTGGCCGATTTGATGCTTGGATGCGGATCGTCGAAGTGAGCATAGATGGAAGAGGAAAAATGGGTAGTCTTGTAGGTGCCAGCGAGGAATTCAGAAGCGGCGGTATAGGGATGGAGAATTTACTTATGGAATATGCACTTTCGACCATGTTCTTGATCAATATGTTTATCGACGCCCCTCAAGATGATTTGCAGCTTCGCTGTCATATCAGAGCCCAATTCACGGCATGTGGTATTAAACGACTCTTGAGTAAAATGGAGGGATTTCAATACGATGCTATCGACAAGCAAATCGAGCGGTACCGTGAAAATGAGGCAATTGACTACGAAGATCTTCTCCAGCGAGAGAGTGCCAGCGTGAAAGATGGCATCGAAGGGGACGTCGCTGATATGAGCGACCCCGTTCAAATCACGAATGCAATTGTGTCAAGGCTACATGGTAGCCGTTCCCAGGACTTTTTCTTATCTGCGATGCAGCATATGCTCCTCATACGTGAAAATGCCGCGGAAGATGGACATCGAATGTTTCAATTGGTCGATGCAATGCTTAGTTATGTCGCAATGGATAGGAGATTGCCAGACATGGAGCTCCAGCAAAGTCTCAATTTTACAGTCCAGAGCCTATTGGATAAGCTACATACTGACTCCGAAGCCCGAAGAGCCTTTGACGAATCTCTTGAAGCTCGTCAAGCCGCTGAAGCTGCAATTGCCGACAGAGATGCGATGAAAGCGCAGGTTGAATTAGGCGCCGATGGCCTTGTGGTGAAATTACAAAAGCAGATCGATGAACAAAATGGCATTATCGATTTACAAACCCGCCAGAATGAGAGCCTTAAGGCAGAATTGGCAGAGGTTCAACGAATACGAGCCCAGGAACTGCAGCGCAATGAACTTGAGACCAGAGAACTGTATCTCATGCTTCGAGATGCCCAAGATGTTGCCGCCTCCAAAGCAAATTCACGAAAGGATATTGAAGAAATGGATGCTATACAAATGCAAGGTATACTGGACCGCGAAAAACTTATTGAGCGCCTTGAGAAGCAGCTGGAACGTACAAAGACTCAATTTAAACTTGAAGGACGAATGTGGCAGCAAAGCGGACCATCAGATCGCTTACGAGAACTGCGGGAGAGGATGGATAACATGTATGACATTGACGATGAGACCAGACAAAGGTTTACGGATAGTACGTTTGGGACAGTTTCTCGAAAGAGGAACCAAGCTGGCAATGCGCCGAACACCGACACTCCGATGGATGGCCGGTTGTCAGATGTCGAAGAAGATGAAGAGATGATCGAAGAAAAGGCGCGATTAATTGAAATTAAGCGTCCTCGTATGAATCCAGAGCAAGCAACTGGCTTGTTAAACGAACTAGCTACTAAAGCCCAGAAAATTAACGGGGTAGATGAGGAGGCAGAAACACTGAAGTCCGAATCTACTCAACCCGCCCCAGCGGAAACTGTAGGGAAGGAAGAGGGATTCAATAGCCTGCCGCCCCCTCCTCCACCGCCATCACCAGGATTCAGCGATGGCCCTCCGCCACCACCACCACCGCCGCCGCTTCCAGGCTTCTCAGGAGGCCCGCCTCCCCCACCTCCTCCTCCATTACCGGGATTCTGCAGTGCTACAGCACCACCACCACCACCGCCGCCGCCTCCACCTCCTCCACCTATGCCAGGGGCTCCAATGCCTCCACCACCCCCAGGTGCACCACCGTTACCAGGTGCCTGGAAGGGGAACTATTTATCACCTACCCAGGCTATGTCACCGACTGGCCTTGGGCATTCTTTCATGCGACCAAAAAAGAAGCTAAAGGCTCTCCACTGGGACAAAGTAGACACTCCAGAGATAACGGTCTGGGCTGTTCATGCACCAACGTCTACATCAAAAGAAGAAAAATACACTGAACTCGCGAAGAAAGGTGTATTAGATGAAGTTGAGCGGCTGTTTATGGCCAAAGAAACTAAGATTGTTGGCTCGGGAACCTCGAAAAAGAAGACTAAAAAACAAATAATTTCCAGGGAGTTGATGCATAAATTTCAGATTGCAATGGCTAAGTTCTCGCAAGTACCAGGGGATGAACTTGTGCGTATGATTATACACTGTGACCCGGACATCTTGAACAATGGCGTCATTATGGAATTCTTGCAACGGGATGATATGTGCTCTATTCCGGAAAATACAGCTAAATTAATGGCTCCGTATAGCAAGGATTGGACGGGCCCCAATGCTTCCACTACTACAAGGGAGCAAGATCCGAATGAACTCACGCGCGAGGACCAGGTTTATCTTCAAACAGCTTTTGAACTTCATCACTATTGGAAAGCCAGGATGCGAGCTCTTGCAATGACTCTCTCTTTCGAGCACGAATACGATCAAATATCTTCCGAGCTTCAGGAAGTGTCAAAGGTTTGTGAATCCCTGCGGGATTCCGTTTCTTTGATGAACGTCCTTGGCTTGATTCTTGATATTGGCAATTTCATGAATGATACAAATAAACAGGCTGCGGGGTTCAAGCTCAGCTCCTTGGCACGACTTGGTATGGTCAAAGATGATAAGAACGAGTCTACTTTTGCAGACCTTGTCGAGCGTATTGTTCGTAACCAATATCCCGAATGGGAAAATTTCCAGGATGAAATTGGCGGAGTGATCAGCATTCAAAAATTAAACATTGACCTTCTACGATCCGACGCGCAGAGGTACATTGACAGCATCAAGAATGTCCAGTCAAGTCTGGATGCGGGGAATCTAAGTGACCCCAAAAAATTTCACCCTCAGGATAGGGTAAACATCGTCGTGCAAAGGTCTATGAAAGATGCGCGGCGGAAAGCAGAACAAATGCAGCTGTTCCTAGATGAGACATCGAAGACGTATGAAGATATCATGACATTTTATGGTGAAGATAATACAGACGAGAATGCCCGCCGCGAGTTTTTCGGAAAGTTGGCGGGCTTCTTGTTGGAGTGGAAGGTACGTATAGTCCCAGAATCACGAAGTTTGAGAGAAGCATGCTAATTTCGTATCTTTCAAATAGAAATCCAAGGAAAAGAACGTCTCCTTAGAAGATAATAGACGGAGAATGGAGGCATCTCTTGCTCGGAAACGTATCAACCCGTCAATGGCGAATGGAGCTGAGGGTGTTAACTCTCAAGCGGCAGCAAGCAGCGGTGCCATGGATTCATTGCTCGAGAAACTGCGCGCGGCTGCGCCCCAAGCACGTGACCAACGTGATCGGCGTCGGCGGGCAAGGTTAAAGGAGCGGCACCAGGTGCGAGTAGCTTCGGGACAGCGCATGCCAGAATTACCTCCGAACGATGGCGAAGCTAGCGAAGAACAAGCTTGTACCAATGGCGAAAATGTGCAAGTTAAGGAGGCTAAGTTGGACGCAGAGCCCGGCGCTCCCGCACACGTCTCGGAAAGCGAAGACGTTGCTGACAGAGCGGCTAGCATGCTACAAGGCTTACGAGAAAACATAGATTCCGATTCTACACGCAATCGCCGACGAGACAGTGCCGAAGAAGCGAAAAGGAATCGGAGAATGAGACGCCGAGTTGCTGGTAATGCGGTTAAAGAAGCTTCCGGCGACGCACAGGCCCCCTTGTCAACGGTTCTAGAACCAGAACCGGAATTGCCTGGAAACAGGGATGCTTCTGACAGTAACCACATCGAGTCGCCCAATAAGCCCGTGGTAACCGATATAGATAACGCGGCGTCACAGTCGAGTTCTAACTCGGGTGTTTCAAAGAAAGAAGAAGCCTCAGCAGCGTAGTACCATGCTCATCTGCGACTCTCACTTGTATTTTGTTAATTATGGTACTGTTATTAACTGCTTTTGACCTGCCTATATTTTCTCTGTTAATTGCCTGTTGGTCTTTGCAGACTGGTTTATGTTAAGAATCTGTTCATTGTATCTGCATGGGATATATTCCTTCTCTGTTACTCTATGACTGTCCTATTTGTGGAGGGTTTTTCTTTTTGGTGCAGTACATTTCAAGCGTGAATAATGTGCCGCTCTTCATCCTGAGATCTCTTTTTGTCCTTCATCCTAAATGGGTTGTACATTGATACCCCTTCTCCTTTCTGAGCCCCAAAGTTTTTCAAAGCATGGATATTGAACTGCCCAGCTCGATACTTTCTTATATAAATACATACAAGCTATGACCACAACAGTGAATGTTATTTTCTTGATTAAATGTGCGTTTGACCAGACATTTAATAACACGTCAATCTATAGAAGTCTTCAGGCCTTTTTGTGTCACGCCAGGCCATGGATAACTACCATAGATGGTGAGTGGCAGGCTGTACAGGGTAGAGTTGCTAGACCCAAACAGCATGACGTATGGAGTAGTTAGTACGGAGTATAGGCTGGATAACAACTAAACTAGTAACCGGTTTGGGAATCGTACGTTTGTCTTGTTTGCACCGCCACAAATCCGGATCCAACACCTTCATCGCCCGACATCACCACTCATCCACATCACGCTTGCTTCGGCTCTGCTCTGTCTTTTGCTTCCCATTCTCCGGTGCTATTTCAGCTTTTCTTTTGCTCACTACCCTGTCCGAAGTCCGCCATTATGGCTGACCCTACCTACCCTCCCAGCAGTACGCCGCCGCCCTTCTTCACCCTGACCTGAGCTCTCACAGAACTTGTACACTGGCTGCTACAACGAGGCTCCCTCGTTGGCTCGCTGAACTTTTACTAATATTTGGCTTCTGATAGGAGATGATGAGCGGGCACGCGCTAACGGCCAAACTGGCAAGGCAGCCACCGAATATCCACTGACTCGTATGTGTACCTTCGCTTCCAAAGCTTTAACTACTATATTTCCGTTGCTGACTCGGTTCTTCTTACTTGTAGACTACCACTCCATTGTATACAGCTTGCTCAGCGTGCGTGTTATACCGAAACCCCTAGCCTCGTTAATCACCATGCCTAACAGAGCGTAGTGGGAACGACCGCAGACCACTGCTATCTCCTATGTCACTGTTGTAGCCATGATTGTAGCTGGCCGATACCTCCCGCTTCTACGATGGGCCTTGAAACTTCTCTATCTGTCGCTTGGCTGTAGGTTTCTCTGTTCTCCCGGATGTCTCCCTAGCTCTGACATGAGCTCTTTATTTTTTTAGTTACCGCCATTGTTGAAATTAGCGGACGTGTTGTTTTAGGCCATGGCTTCATGAGCACTTCTCGTCCACGCAAATACTACACAATTCCCAAGGATACCGTGGAAAGCCTGCTCGAAGACCTGGAACAGTTGATGGATTTTTTTCTTATCGAGTTCCAACGCATTTTGTTTGTAGAAAATCTGTCGTATACCCTTGCTGTAAGTTATGAATACATACCCTAAACCCAGCCAGGACTTTGTTGATTGACTAACTACTAAATCACCAAAGACTTTTATCGCTGCTCTCACCTCCTACTGGCTTGTTCGATTTTTGCCCCTCTGGGGATTGGCCCTCATAGGTGTAACTATAGCTTATCTGGGGCCGCTGGTCTACCTCAGTAATAAAGAGTTTATCGACGAGCAAGCAAAGGCTGTCCAGGACATGATCAATACCCAAGCCCGAGAGGTAAAGGAGATGGCAGAAGCCCAGACGAGCCATGCCACTGATATGGTAAAACACTACGTTGGCGAGTACCGTGCAAAGGCTCATGAATATGTCGTATCCCCCGTTTCCCTCCCAGAATCAGTGGGAGCTAAGAAGCGGCAGCTCGATGCTCCAGCCACACAACCAGGGCCAACTATTCTAGAGCCCAGTGATTTCCCTCCAGCACCACAAAATGAACTTATTCCCCAGATTCACGAGGATAAGAACGAAACAGAGGTTGCTTCAGAGCTAGTTCCGACCCTGTGATTGACAGATGTCCCAATCTTATATGATGGTCCAACAACACAACTCGGATAGGAAAAGGTGGAGACTTGTCGGCTCAAGCGTTACTAGGTGAACAATGGACAAAAAATGTGACGAAATCCAATACCCGAAAAAGTTTGTACGGGTGTGAAGGATTTCTTTTCCTTTTATTAATCGAGCAGGGTTTCCCTATTACCAAAAACGGCAATAGCGGCAGCTTTTTGATCTAGGTTTGTTTTTTTTTACACGACAAAATGGCATTCACAAAACGGCATTCATGGAATGGAGTGTATTACTTCTGCTTATAGCCCTATTAATGTTCCAAATCTTTTCCCGTTCCTTGCCTACGATGCCTGTATGTATGTACTTATCCGCCTGTATTTTGGCACATCAATTTTACTGAATCTCCCATCCATATGTATATGTGCTGTGCACGCATACGTTATTGCTGTGCTTCTTAAGTAGCTGTAACTTTCTGAACATATGGATTAGCAACGCGACTGTATACTCTCAAGAATGGCTTTAGCATGTTGGTTTTCTGGATTTCGCTCATCGGATGCAGCTACGGTACGGAGTACTCCCGGCACTACGTGTGCGACTAAACTAAATCAGCAAAGAAGATACATAGTTAGTATTAGCTACATATTCCATATTACAGCGTAGAAAGACTTTGGTACTGAAAAAAGACAACCAAGGGTTTGAAAACAAAACACCCAGAGAAAGAACCCTACCTTGCTTCTGGCTTGATCCAGACAGCCTAGACTAGTAACTAATAGTTTTTAATAGTTTTCAGAAAGTGACAAAAGAAAAAGGGAAAAGACGAAGCAACGTCTAGTGCTCAATAATGGAATGTTGAACAATAAAACAGTTATGAAGGGAGCCAGTATGCTTGCATAGGAAAGGAGATGAAAACCGATTGAAATAAATATAAATATGCATTCACAGTTTGGATATATCAGTCAGGCTGATGCTCGGCGCCGCTTTCGTTGGGATTCATTTGCGATGCTTGAATCTTCATCCATTTGCATTTTAAGTAGCATATAGGCAGCCCTTATGTCATTTCTCAGTGGAAGAGGTGAGTACTTCCCTTCTGTCGGATTGTCTGTCTCTGCATCACTCTCAGACGAGCTTGTCACAGAGTCTGTGTCGATGAAGGATTCATCTCCGTACTCGGATGCGCCGCAGGTTTGCGGGGTGGAGTTATCTTCGGGAGATGCTCTAGTCACTGTTTCGTGGATACCTGCGAGTGAGACGAGGATGTCTTTGGGCGATGGAATGTCTAGCGAAGATCGCTGGACTATACTTGGGGCATTTGCCGACGTCCAGCCGCTCGTGGGGTGAGAAAGGTTAGATCCATTGTATTCTCCATCACTATTTTCTTCTAGGTTATTACTCTCAGCACTTTCTTTGTTAGACCGGGGTCTCAAATTCTTGAATCGGCGCAGGCTTTCATTCTTCACGGAATTCGGGAGTTCACACGGCAACGAATGCCGTTCTAATTCTAAAGATCGAAAGTTCTCTGCGGTGATAGTAGCGGTTTGTACAATTTCTGGGTCTATTACCATCTTGCCAAATCTGGCATCGTTTGGCGGAATGCAAATGTCGAGAAATTGGACTCCAAATAGAGGTGTCAAAGCATATCGAATTTTCCAGCAAAAAGTAGCTGCTACAGCCTTTGCTGCTTCAAAGGGCATCCAATACCCTGTTTATCATCAGTAGATTTTACAATAAGATACGGCCGGAATCACCTTGTGCTGCCAGTGCTCCTCCTGTGATGCTATGGCAGATATCTCGAAGCCCTGGATTTGCATCTAGCATCTTCCCTGGTGCAGTCTGTAGACATTAATAAAGTATAGAGTAAAGTTTATGTACTGATATACACCTGCCTTAGAATAATTATTGCATTTGAAAAATGACGTGGTTCGGACAAGGCCTATATTATAATCCCACATAACCGTGTGCCTCGTATCCTCACCGGGCATCTGGAACGTATACTGGAAAACTGCTCCATACATTTCATTCAAACCAATGTTCTCTCGTACAGAAAAGATCGGCATCTCACCTTCAAAACTTTCTCGGCCGGTCCTTTCTAAAAAGGACTTTTTCTCACTATTGTAAGGTATATGCCGGGGAAATTGTGTGATACATCCCATGGGGTAGATATCAAGTTTTTTATGGGCTTCTGCAAGCTTTTCATCTTGGAATTCGCATGGGGGATATCTAAGCTCTCCTTTGATCTCTCCCCTCGTGAACACAGCCGCGTCTTTCGATATTTTTTGCTTTTTCTGTCTTTGAGGTTGAGGTTCGAAGTCGGTTGACAGGTTGGAGCAGGGAGTCGGAAGCTGCTGGAAGCGATCGAAAGGCTCGGGCTCCGGGTTTAGTAACGATGCTATGGATGCCATTTCGTTGATCAATTAAACGAGCTTTGCATTTGATCTAATGGCCTCTAAGCAGTGGCTATATATCTAAAAGTGTTAGGGTGGTGAATTGAAAAATCAATAGGTATGGGATAAGTAGTCAATATCAATTCACAAAATACAAGGAAGAGGGAGACATAAAGGTGCCGAGCAGTCGAAACAGTATGAGCAGATGAAACAAGGTAACTCCAGCCAATAAAGAGCGTGGTTGATAGTAAAAAAAGCGGTTGTAAAAAAAGCTAAAGCCAGATGTCGGCCATTGCTTTAGGCCAAGATTTTGCGGCTTTTGACAGATCCAGAGAAAGGGGTTGCAAAGTTTGGAGTTTGTCGGTGGAAGGGAGTTAAAATTTTTAGTTTGATACTTTTGCATGGTCAAATCCCTTTGTAAGAGCTACCCGATACTTTACGAATCGGGAGTTTGGTATTATTATTCTTAAGCTTCATTTAGAGAGCAGTAGCTAGTCAATATGCTTGATTATAAAGCTAAGCAGCTTCAGCTCTCACATTTAGGTACAAGGCTGCCATGGTTATTCAGATGGCAACACAAGATCGCAATTTTCAACCTAAAATTGAGATGCAAGGGTCACAGAGAGTATGCCCCGAAGCTGAGTACAGAATCCATTAAGCAAAACAAATGGACATTATACTAGCCGCGGGATCTCATTGTGGCGAGCCATAGGTGCCCTTTCATTGGAATAACGCCAGCACAATAAACGGTTCGCACTGTTCGTTTCGAAGGCTTGATCAGCGGGAGGATCCAGGATCTGTGTAATGCATAAAGAGAGAGTGGCGAAGAAAGAGGCGCTGGACACTAGACGGTGCTGAGCTTCTATGATTGCTAGGAAAGTTTGTTTCACATAATATGGGAGCACAATCAGGGAGAGTTACCCCTTGTTGCTATCTGCAAACAGCCGTAGCAAAGAAGGGTCAGGTACCCGGGTATTGGTTCTCAATCGTTGTTGAACGTGGATGAAACTATATCCACTGGGAAAAGTACTGAAAAAGAAGTTGGAATAATATTACACTTGTTAGATAGAAAATTGGGAGGAGGGGGGGGGGGGGAAAGCCCGAAGGGGGGGGCTAACATACCGGGGAAAGAAAACCCCAAGTTTGAATTTTCCCCGGA